ATTTGATGCTGTGTGTGACTGCTGTTTCTATCGGCGCTCTCTTTCAGCATGATGCTGAAATAGCAGAGGCAGTGTGCCCGTTTTCTTTGCTCTGGCTCGCAGTAACTGTCCGTAGTCCTGAATCAATAGTGAAGCCTATGTGTGTGCAGTTGAATTGATTAGGTTTCCATCCAAGAAAATATGTGCATTTTCCGACTGGTGGTGTGAAAGAAAAAATCAGTTCGTAATGACGTAGAGCGCACAAAATAAAAAATTTTGCTTAAGTTTTTATGTACCAATAAAAATCTAAAATTCAATGTGTTTCCATCGCATTTTCAACTCTACCGATAGCTTTGTCACAAACACTGCTGCGTTGAATAGCCAGGCCGGGATCAGCCGCCCTGATCCCGCCCTGGAGTTTCAATGATCATGAGAACGGTGAGGAATCAGCCCAGAACTACACGGGAGGATCTTGTCAATGATCTCAAGGCAGCTGGGACCATAGTCACCAAGAAAGCAATTAGTAACACACTACGCCGTGAAGGACTGAAATCCTGCAGCACCCGCAAGGTCCCCCTGCTCAAGAAAGCACATATACAGGCCCATCTGAAGTTTACCAATGAACATCTGAATGATTCAGAGGAGAACTGGGTGAAAGTGTTGTGGTCAGATAAGACCAAAATCGAGCTCTTTGGCATCAACTCAACTTGCCGTGTTTGGAGGAGGAGGAATGCTGCCTATGACCCCAAGAACACCATCCCCACCGTCAAACATGGAGGTGGAAACATTATGCTTTGGGGGTGTTTTTCTGCTAAGGGGACAGGACAACTTCACCGCATCAAAGGGACGATGGACGGCGCCATGTACCGTCAAATCTTGGGTGAGAACCTCCTTCCCTCAGCCAGGGCATTGAAAATGGGTCGTGGATGGGTATTCCAGCATGACAATGACCCAAAACACACGGCCAAGGCAACAAAGGAGTGGCTCAAAAAGAAGCACATTAAGGTCCTGGAGTGGCCTAGCCAGTCTCCAGACCTTAATCCCATAGAAAATCTGTGGAAGGAGCTGAAGGTTTGAGTTGCCAAACCTCAGCCTCGAAACCTTAATGAATTGGAGAAGATCTGCAAAGAGGAGTGGAACAAAATCCCTCCTGAGATGTGTGCAAACCTGGTGGCCAACTACAAGAAACGTCTGACCTCTGTGATTGCCAACAAGGGTTTTGCCACCAAGTACTAAGTCATGTTTTGCAGAGGGGTCAAATACTTATTTCCCTCATTAAAATGCAAATCAATTTATAAAATGTTTGACATGCGTTTCTCTGGATTTTTGTTGTTATTATTCTGTCTCTCACTGTTCAAATAAACTTACCATAAAAATTATAGACTGATCATGTCTTTGTCAGTGGGCAAACGTACAAAATCAGCAGGGGATCAAATACTTTTTTCCCTCACTGTGTATATTGTAATTATTTTGCACTATGGCCTATTTATTGCCTTACCTCCATAACTTGCTACATTTGCACGCACTGTATATATATTTTCTGTTGTATTTTTTGACTTTTTGTTTTGTTTTACCCCATATGTAACTCTGTGTTGTTGTTTTTTATCGCACTGCTTTGCTTTACTTGGCCAGGTCGCAGTTGTAAATGAGAACTTGTTCTCAACTGGCTTACCTGGTTAAATAAAGGTGAAATAATAAAAAAACTAAAAAAAAACTCTTACGAACCACGTTGGTCTCCTACATTCTAGACCTGCTGTACTTCGGTCAGACAGCCCCTGAGCTTCAGACACCCAAGTTCCATTCCTGAAGATGCACATTCCTCTTTTCCCTTCAGGTTAGAATAGAGATTTAGAAAACTTGAACATTTACTTCTGCCATTTTGTAATTTCTCTGTAAAAAATGTATATAATAAGTCAATACATTTTTAATATCAAGACGTTGTTTATGACCATCAAACAGCTACTGTATTACTCTACTGTTTGTCCTAGGGGTGGAGGTTCTGGACAATTAACCCCCTCTCCTCGCCTCATCAAGTCTCACCTCCCAGTCCAGTTGCTGCCCAAGTCCATCTGGGAGCAGAACTGCAGGGTACCGTATGTGTACCTTTATGCTTGTCCTCTATGTTTCTCTGTTATATACCTCACTCACTCACTCACTCACATGGCCAAGGACATAAGAACAACTTCTTATAGACATTCGTGGATGGAAAGAGTGAGTGAACAAGATAATAAAGTATAATAATATAGGACTGCCTTCATCATCTAAAGCATTGTACAGTTCTTAAAAATGTCACAGCATGTAATACAAGTGTAATAACACATAATACTGTAAGTACTGTGAATAAACAACACGTTATATCAGACATCTTTTTTATATTTATCATATTTATTTGAAACCAGATAAGAGGCCGCAGCGCAATATAATACAACTTCATATAGAAACAGTCAATTAGCAAATTAATGAAATTAATATGTTGGAAAATCTCTAATACTATACTTCTGCACTGTGACTACTGTTCACAGAGGAGGACAGATTGGTTTACTGTGCTATGGCACAAACAACACAAACATCCCCACAACTGCCAATCACTGCTGAAGGTTCTCCTAACCCAACCACATAATGAAATGAAGGAGAAGGCAGAAGTTGCCCCAGATCACTGATATAGGGTCAGATATTCTTCCTCCATCCAAATGGTTAAGGTTAGAATTGGAGGTAGGGTAATCTGATCCTAAACATGTACTTATAAGGATGATTTCTACAGTACCTTGAGCTGAAAGTGAATGGAGAAACAGCTAAGTATGCTGAAATCAGATGGGGTCATTGGAATGTAGGCAACAACACAACCCCATTGTACTGTACTGTAAATATCAAACAAGTCAAGCATTTCACATCACAGGGAGAGACTGCACTGACACTGAGGGAGGCAGGAAACAGAAAACAGCTGATCCTGTAGCACAGGGACCCGGGTCGTGTTCAGTAGGACACGTTTGGAAGGATTTTGAAACAGAAAAAAATAAATGAGTTTCTTATTGGACGGGTTCAGGTAGTACCTCCCCATTTTACTCTGTTTCAAAACATCTTCTCCCATTTTGTGCCTATTTTACTTAACCCAGGTCTCAAGTGGAGATATGGGACTGAGGATTGACTCCTGGAATTTGTTCAGTATCACTCAACATTTTTAAACTGTTTTCAAATGGACACAGCTCCAAATTAGAGAGTGCCATTGACACTGCCCTTTAACCCCTAAACATTAAACGCTAACCTCTACTGCAATCCCAGGTACTGTTGTGAAACTTCTTTCAACACTTCTATCCCGAACAGAGCCCTGAATATCAGAAATTAGGGCTGGACAGTCACTGTTCCCAATATTCCTCCATAAGCCATGACCGGTCATCACTTTCTTGGCAGATAACTCTGTTGAACGCCTCAAAGACCTCAGCAAGACCACTTTAGATTGTCTTCATGGTAAATACCTTTTGATCATTTTTGAAGTGCACCTTTATTTACAAACATCCAAAAATAACAGTATTGACATACTTTCTTATGTTACATAATATACTTGTATAATATTTTCCTCTTGAGTAGTAAAAATACTTCAGTCTAGAGTGCTCAGGTTTAGGCTTATAGACGTCTGTAGAGTACTACAGTACAGGAGTGGTGTGGTTCATAGTAGGCAAGTGTTATGAAATACAGCTGCTTAGCTGTATGGAGCAATGAGTATAGCTACAAAAAAAAAAAAGTTCACGTTGTGCACTGACATGCTGCAACTGATAAAATATTGTAGGTGTGTTTATACTGTTGTCAGTTATATTGCGTGTTACAAAATGCAGTCATAGGCTTTGACGGTCCGTGATGATAGAATGTACCACAATCAGCAGGTGAAATGTATCAGCATCATTTTCAAACTAAAATGTCTGGTTTTAGCAGGAACTATTTTAGCTACAGCTCCGGGCATCAGCCACAGTTTCACAGGATAATGCACTTTCTTTCTGCCTGTCAGTTCAGTTGTGTCTCTAAGGGGTTGTTTTTACTTATGTAATAAACATCACATTTACATACAAGGCAGACTATTGAAACAGAAACTCAATTATGAGCCAATTACCAGCAATCCTATGCATGTGGACTGCTACCTTCCTGCTAGAGGAAGTGTGGGAAAAGACCACTGTTGTCAGTCAGGTAATGTGTTATTCATGTATTTTTAAGCATAACTTGAAATCAACCACCAACGTGATCAATGTATATGGCACAAATCTTAAAAACACATATGCATCAAGTTGAAATATCAAGGACAGCAAATGAATACTATCAAAATGTAAATACATTTTCACAAGGAGGACAACGGCTTTCAGAAAGGTAGGAGCCACGGCATTCATATTTAGCATACATCCATCAAACAATGGATTCACAGAGGGAATGGTAGGGATGACCAATAAATATTTTAAAGAATCCCTGGGTCGTCACCAATATGAATCCTGTGTCAATCCATTCCTCTGTTCACTCAAGTCCACCTTAAATAATAGTGCTACAAAGAGTGAATGTACAGTACATGCTGATGTATGTGATGCTTGAAATGCAGCGAGTTAATCAAATGTACATAGGTGTGTATCTGTAGGTGTGTGTTGGTGTGTGTGTGTGTGTTCTGTTGTTCACACATGTGCTCTATGCCCCAGAATCTGAGTCAGGTTGGCCACACCTTTGCCAAAAAACACAACATTTGAACCACTCACATTTAGAGCAAACACTGGATAATGTCCCATATAGGACATCTGTTCAACTCAGTGGATATGAAAGCTTTTATGTATTTTCCCTCATCTTCTCAAAATAAGTCCTCTGTCCATGATTCACGTAACATTCCTCATGTAGTTGAGTCAATGTTTATGATAAAGTCTATCTAGTTGACTAGATAGATTTAAAGTTATTATCTAAGGGTTAAGGTCTTATGTAAGTTTGTTTTTTGATGGTTTTGTTTGGGGCTTGGTCATTGGTCCTGATGTCCTGGGTTGGAGTTGAGAGTTATGGGTTCAGAGGTCAATAATCTCACTGCTGACGCTGGCTAAGTCGTCCTTCCTGCTGACCTCCATGTAGCTCTTCCCTCCCGCTCCCTTCCTCCCTGCCCACCCCCTCTGGGTCTCAGAGTCTGGGGTGAGGAAGGGCCTTGTGTCGTCTCCCCCGTCTTCCCCAATATGCCCCTTGGAGGTTCTGGAGGGGCGCAGGGAGACGGGACAGGACATTGAGGAGGGGACACTGGCACCCCCGTCCCCGGCCCAGCAGTGCCCCTGGTGAGAGGGCGTGGGGGGAGCAGTGACCTGCCTGCTGGGAACACTGCTGAGCACACTGCCCCCCAGTGGCACGGAGGACTCTGTACAGGCTGAGCGATCTTCACTGCTGTCAGAGATCTGGGGGTCGCTGTTCCTGCGGAGCCAGGGGCCCCCCTGACTGACAGCTGAGCCCGGGGAGGGAGTGGGTGAGGGGGCGCAAAGGGGCTGAAACAGGCTGCCCCCATGAAGGATGTGCTTTCGATGCAGGGCCTCATCGATGCTGCGGCTCAGGTCGATGGGGGAGGGGGGTCGCAGGTCAAACTCATACAGAGACACCCCTGACTCCTTCTCCTGCTCCAGGCTGCCGCTAAGCATGTGCAGTGGGGGGCGGCCTAACGCCTGCAGCAGAGATCCTGTGGACCCATCCGACACCCCCCTTTCTGCAGACCTGCCTCTCTGGTTGCGTCCACGGTTGCTGTCCTTGACGCCGCGTGGCTGTGAGGGTGGAGCCTCAAGGTTCTGGTTTCTGATCAGACTCTTGCTGATGTCGGCCCCCGAGCGCTCCTGCCCCGCCCAGTTATTAGGCAGTTCCTCCGCCCCGCCCCCTCCTACTACTACTCCTCCCACTCCGTTACTCTCTAACTTCCCACAGGGCTTCCCTGTCAGGCTCTGGACTATCTTGGACCAGCAGGTGTGTTTATGAGTCGACCCAGATGACTGTCCAGGTGAGGGGAGATCTCCTCCCGCCCTGCTCTCCGCTGCTCCCTCCTCTCCTCTCCCTTGGGCCCCCCGGGGCCTCCAGAACACCCAGGAGCCCAAGAGGATGAGAGAAAAGGCCCAGGCCAGCTCCAACAGCCGGGCCCAGAAGTGAACCAGCCACCAGTCCCAGCAGAAGCGCCTCCAGTCCCCCAACATCCCGTAGAGCCACAGGGTGGCGTAGATGTGGAGTCCACAGCACAATGCCCCTAGGAGGGCACACAACACCAGCACACGACCCAGCACTGACCCTGCCCTCCTACCCCCCGGCCAGGCTTTAACTGCCCTCTCCTCCTCTGGGATGGGTGGCTGGGCAGGCAGGTGGTGGAGGTGGGGGAAGACGTAGCACAGGAAGCCCAGACAGAGTGCCAGGCCCCAGCAGAGAGACAGGGACTGCAGGGTGACAGGCACAGCTGGGGACAGGGCTGGGGAGAGAAGGTCAGCAGCCAGCAGCAGGGTGCACTGTATTACAGCCAACACAGCCAACAGAGGAGGGTGCTCAAGAGCAGAGGGCAGCAGACTCACACCTGCCTCCTTCATGGCGAGCAGCGCCAGTGCAGCCTGAGCCCATACCAGTAACGGCAGAGGGAGGTTATAAAGAGCAGTCACTGCAGGCCGGGGAAGAATCTTCCTTGTTCCGTATGGGTCAATCAGGAACAGAGCTGCCCTGGCTGCGCCCACCAGGAGAAGGAGGGCGTTGGCCAGGACCAGCGCACCACGGTGAGGGCAGTGCATGCTGGGGGCTAGAACCAGACCCAGGGCGGCTCCAGCCAGGAAGAGCAGGAAGAGGATAGCCGTGCCGTAGACGTGGAGCCCCCAGGCGAAGGCCAGCGTCCTGCTCAGGTCATCCCACAGGAGAGAGGTGCCGTTGGGGGAAGAGAAGGAGGAGGGAGAGGAGGAGGGAGAGGAGGATGGGGGGAGGCGAGGGCGGCCCACGGGGATGGAGTGGTTCCTCTGAACTGGGTGGGTGTCATTTTTTTGAATTTGTAGAGTAGGGGTGATGTGGAGAGGGGACGTCCCTGGAGGCAGAGAGAGAAATTCTTAATTCATCATATTGAACTGTCCCAAAACATCTGTAATGATTGACAATAATACTCAAAAACACTTTCTTTAACAGAGCAGAACCCAGCTATAACAAGCGGACACATACAGTGGACAATCTACCCCACAAGAGGGGGCTAATTTCCTATGAGAAGAGTGTATTGAGAGCACAGAAGGTTCTACTCCACAAGGCAACAAATAACCCACAGGGAGTTGAATATTTTGACCTTCTATTCTCATACCAGGCCAAAGGACACTCAACAGTGTTTTCCAATGAGGGCAAAAATCACAAAGGGTAATTGTGAAACAGTTCACCTCTTTCAACCCCACACAGCCCTCATAAACACTCCAAATAGTAAATAGTCTGTCTCTCTCTCTCTCTCTCTCTCTCTCTCTCTCTTATTAGCACCCCTTCTCCACCTCTTGTTCTCCCTGATAGTGCGTGTGTGGCAGGTAGCTAGATAGTGTGTGTTTGTTGACAGTCGTCGGCTCTTACGTAAGACACCTCCCAGCGAGCCCAGCATGGGGCCTACAGACTTGACCTGGACAAACTGTCTTCTCCTCTCTACTGTTAGAGACTGGAGCACAGATTAGATAGCACGCACACACATTAACACATCCCTACTATACGAAAGTATTGCGCACATCACACACACTCGTACGTCAGACACATGCACACACCTTAACACATACTGTATGTACTTTAAGAAAGTAGTGTGCGCATCACACACACTTGCACATCAGATGCACACACACACACACACACTTGCAGGTGAAGACATGCACACGCACACACACTTAATTAATGAAAGGTATCTTGAGGTGAAGACATGCACATACCACACAAACTCAGTGACATTAAGCTATTAAGGAGGGCTGAGTCTTCAGTCATTTAGAATGTATTTTAATTGGAGCTCACTGCTTACTACTAGATTATGTAATTGATGAGATCATCTCTTTACATAATCTTTAGATAATGTAAAAAACATACACAGTGCCTTCAGAAAGAATTAATACCCCTTAACCTATTCCACATTTTGTTGTGTTACAGCCTTAATTTAAAGTGACAAAACATTTTTGCAAATTTATAAAAAATGAAATACAGAAATATCTCATTTCGATAAGTATTTACACCCCTGAGTCAATACATGTTAGAATCACCTTTGACAGCGATTACAGCTGTTAGTCTTTCTGGGTAAGTCTCTAAGAGCTTAGCACACCTGGATTGTACAATATTTGCACATTATTATTTTACAAATTCTTCAAGCTCTGTCAAGTTGGATCTTGATCATTGCTAGACAGCTATTTTCAAGTCTTGCCATAGATTTTCAAGCTGATTTAAGTCGAAACTGTAACTAGACCACTCAGGAACATTCAATGTCGTCTTGGTATGCAACTCCAGTATATATTTGGCCATTGTGTTTTAGGTTATTGTCCTGCTGAAAGGTGAATTTGTCTCCCAGTGTCTGTTGGAAAGCAGACTGAACCAGGTTTTTCTCTAGGATTTTACCTGCTCTATTCTGTTTCTTTTTATCCCAAAAATCTTCCTAGTCCTTGCCGATGACAAGCATACCCATAACATGATGCAGCCACTACCATGCTTTAAAATATGAAGAGTGGTACTCAGTGATGTGTTGTGTTGGATTTGCCCTAAACATAATGCTTTGTATTCAGGACATAAAGTTCATTTCTTGGCCACATTTTTTGCAGTTTTATTTTAGTGCCTTAATGCAAACAGGATGCATCTTTTGGAATAGTTGTATTCTGTACAGGGTTTTTTCTTTTCACTCTGTCATTTAGGTTAGTATTGTGGAATAACTACAATGTTGTTGATCCATCCTCAGTTTTCTCCTATCACAGTCATTAAACTCTGTAACTGTTTTAAAGTCACCATTGGCCTCATGGTGAAATCCCTGAACGGTTTCCTTCCTCTCTGGCAACTGAGTTAGGAAGGACGCCGGTATCTTTGTAGTGTCTAGGTGTATTGATACACCATCCAAAGTGTAATTAATAACTTCACCATGCTCAAAGGGATATTCAATGTCTACTTTTTAATTTGTATCCATCTACCAATAGGTGCCCTTCTTTGCAATGAATTAGAAAACCTCCCTGGTCTTTGTGGTTGAATCTGTGTTTGAAATTCACTGCTCGACTGAGGTCCCTCATTGAATTTCAAACACAGATTTAACCACAAAGACCAGGGAGGTTTCCCAATGCCTCACAAAGAAGGGCACCTATTGGTAAATGGGTAAACTTAAAAAAACCAGACATTGAATATCCTTTTGAGCATGGTGAAGTTATTAATTATACGTTGGATGGTGTATCAATGGTGTATCAATACACCCAGTGTAATTGTGACTTTAAAACAGTTTCAGAGTTTAATGGCTGTGATAGGAGAAAACTGAGCAAAATAGCATGAGTTGAGCTATACAACTGCACATTTTCCTCTGCCCCATGGCAAAATCTGTAGAATTGCAGGAAATTTGCTTTAAAACAGCAACATTTTCTCTCAGCCTCATGGCACAATGTGTATAATAGAATGAGATTAGCTATAAAACTGCACATTTTTGTCAACATTTGTCTCAAAATTACTGTAGCTGGCTATTTAATTTGATCATGCTTTGAGATACACCCGGTTTTATGCTGTTTTAGTCCTCACAACATGTCGCCCTGTCACCTACAGTAGAACCTTATGAACAACATGTGGGGAAACAAAATTGGCCATGCTTTTTTTCCTACCAGATCCGCGATGTAGTTGTCCGGTTTACAAGGTCACAGGCTCCCATAACTGTTATGACTATTTATTTACAAGTTAATTACAATTTGCTTTTTGCTTTAGCGTCATCTGTACCTGATAGAGCAGATCTAGTCTCACATGCGGAAGTAAGCCATCTGGTGCGAGAGACTCATTGGGATGGAGAATAGAGCAGACCCAGAAGTTCTGACTGAATGGACGCACATTTGAACGCCCAAGGATGGTCCACTTACTTTGTGCTGTTAGAATTAATGCTATGAAATCTTGCGATTTCATTAGGACAGTTCCCCCTCATAGCAAAAAGCTTTCAAAACAATCCAAGCAATGTTCGCAAGGCCTATGTGCCCACGGAGGCGGAGCTGCTGCTGCTGGCAGTCACTGAGGGGCGTAGCAGTAAGTAACTGAACAGCTTGTTTTAAACAATATATTTTTAAAACAGGAAGATGTACACATTTACCGCACTTTTATGAGTATTTAAAACATAATTATATAATATATATATTTATCACGTCCGTGGGCGGGCTGCCGCTGTTATGGACATTTTCTGTGTAACACCTTTAATATATCTGTGGGAATGGAGCAAGAAGCGCGACACATACTGAAACTATCAAAGACCTGTCACAATATCTATCACATATGCCTGTTCCCGCTCCCTTCACACACTCGCTCACTCTCTCTCTCTCTGACGCTCACTCTCTCTCTCTCTCTGACACACATGTACATGTGTTCACAATTCCATTCATCACCTCCAACCACCAGAGCTTAAACACTAAGATAACACTGACAGGGTGGACTACCATAACACGACTTACAGTGCATTCGGAAAGTATTCAGACCCATTGACTTTTTCCACATTTTGTCACATTACAGCCTTTTTCTCAAATGGATGAAATTGTTTTTTTTCCCCTCATCAATCTAAACACCATACCCCATAATGACAAATCAAAAACAGGTTTTTATAAATGTTTGCAAATGTATTAAAAATAAAAAACTCAAATATCACATTTACATAAGTATTCAGACCCTTTACTCAGTACTTTGTTGAAGCTCCTTTGGGGGACCTTCAATGCTGCATTAATGTTTTGGTACCCTTCCCCAGATCTGTGACTCGACACAATCCTGTCTCGGAGCTCTCATGGCTTGGTTTTTGCTCTGACATGCAGTGTCAACTGTGGGACCTTATATTGACAGGTGTGTGCCTTTCCAAATCATGTCCAATCAATTGAATTTACCACAGGTAGACTCCAATCAAGTTGTAGAAACATCTCAAGGATGATCAATGGAAACAGGATGCACCTGAGCTACATTTCGAGTCTCATAGCAAAGGGTCTGAATACTTATGTAAATGAGGTGTTTCGCTTTGTCATTATGGGGTATTGTGTGTAGATTGATGAGGATTTTTTTGTTTTTTATCCATTTTAGAATAAGGCTGTAACGTAACAAAATGTGGAAAAAGGTTTGAATACTTTACGAAAGCACTGTATACTGTCCAAACGAGAAATTTATGGGGTTTGGTTAAACTTTAATCCCAATTTGTAACCATACATTCTACCAGTCTCTCCCAGCCCTCTCTAAAGACACACACGCACACACATGCACATGTGCGTGCTCACTAGCTCATGCACGCAAGAACGCACACACACACACTTGGAGAAGTAAAGAAATGATGAACAGAATCATCTGAAGTAAAGGTCTGACAGAGAACACTCAGAGCTCTTTGAGTCCTAAAGGCCAGTTATACTTGGTCTAACAACATGTCTGTAGACAATTAGAATGCGACTGTCAGTTTCCTTGTTGCACAGACATGAAAAAAGTTTAAAGGCTGGTTTACAGTCTGTCTATCAACATGTCTGTAGACAATTGTCGTCCGACATCAAACTTGTCATTGCCATTATGAAAAAGTATAAACACAAAACGACAGCCTCTGCATGACATTAGCAGTCCGGTTCTCCAAATAGCATACATTCTCTATTTTAACACCAATAAACCCATCTGTTTAAAAATGAGTTCAGTAAATGTCAACCTAGCAAGCCAGGCAACTAAAATCTATTTCTAAACAATGTGTTGGTTCGTTGCTAGCTAGTTAGCTAGCTAGCTAGCTGGCTAGCCAGTTCAAATAATGACCAGAGTATAGCTGACAACGTCTTAACTTTAACTACGTTTTATTTATTATTACAGGAAAATAAACCCACAAACACATAATTATTTACAAGGTAATGGCAAGCTTACAGAAAAGACCTTACTGCCACAGTGTGACAAAACAAATGTAGGTCATTTTATCTGAGAATTTTAGAACTCCATCATCTTGTCACAGGAAGATTTGGTCTGGTTGCTGTGGCAGTCCGGTAACCATGACAACAGACAGTTGCTGAGACTTAAACTTTTTTCATGTCTGTGCAACAAGGAAACTGACAGTCGCAGCGACGGTTTACAGACACTCCACCGGAGTATAAATTAAATGTTGTTTTGACCAGCGACACTTATCACATTCTAAAGGTATACAGACATGTTGTTAGACCAAGTATAAACTGGCCTTACGTCTCTGCGACTGTCGCAACGTCCATTGCCGGGGTTACCATGGTCAGTTGCCTGGCTTGATTAGTTGCCTGGCTTACTAGGTGGACATTTACTGAATTCATTTTTAAACAGATGGGTTTATTGGTGATAAAATAGAGAATGTATGCTATTTGGAGCACCGGGCTGCTGATGTCATGCAGAGGCTGTCGTTTTGTGTTTACGCTTTTTCATAACAACAATGACAAGTTTGATGTCATATGACAATAGAATGTTCATGATGTCGCTATGACAATTGTCTACAGACATGTCGATAGACGGACTGTAAACCAGCCTTAACTCACCCTGAAGAACACACCATAAACCTGACACACTGACTGATGGCTCCTTCCAACATGTGTTACACTTCCTGGCTCTCTCTCACTTTCTCTCACTCCCTAGTCTATTAAACAAAATATTTGAGTAACTCCCTTCTCTTAACTACACTCTCCTCTTCATGAGCAGCAGGACTCAGACATGTCCCAGATGTGCTGCTCAAATTTCACAGCTGGAGGCACTTGGAAGTCCCCACTCTCTAACACACACACACACACACACACACACACACACACAAACGTTACGACACACTAACGAGACCAAAACACGTGCCAATACACACAAAATACATATGGAAGCACATACTGTATAAACATCTCTCTGTTATCATTATTATGAGTCATTAGTTAACCAACCAACCTCAGTGTTCTGTAAAGAGGTATAGTCGTTCAGTTTCAGTACACTCCTGGGGATAACAGACCAAATGGAGGGTTGTTTAAACGTTGCTCGAATGTTGTCCCCATGTGTCATATTTTTCCTTCTCTGTCTGCTTTTCCTCTCCTCCACTTCTCCCCTTCCTCCTTCACTCTCTCCATCCATCTGGTTTTCATTATTCACCCTGTGTACTTTCTATACCCCTACCTCTCCTTCTGTTTTACTTTCTCTTTCACTCACCTCCTTACTCTTCTATGTCCTCCTTATCCCCTTCCATTGTTCAAACTCTCAGCATCACTCTTTAATCATTTATCTTGTTCTTTCCTCTACAATCTTAGAATTAGTGGTGACTCGATGAACCCTGGAGATCCTCAAGGACCCATTGATAGTCAATGGTTCATATTTGCACCTTTGGTTAGTTGAGGGGTTCTTGGAGGAACCTTTAATGTTTCAATGTAGCAAAGGGTTCCTGGAGGAACGCTGGACTGGAGGCGTGGCTTAGTAAGGTGCGTGGCTTTCCGATAGATCTTTTTTGGCCTACCGTTAGAGTTAATGTCATTCCTGTTAATCTGTTCTGTTGTATTTTCATGTTAAGGTTGAACATTGACAGTTTTGTAGCTTCAATGAGGCTTACAGAGGTGTATGAGTTCCCAAAGTGCCTAGTCAAATCCCGAAGTTGGAATAGTTACTAGTTGTAGTCAGCAATGTTAATATTATATCAGAATATGTAATATGCATAAACACTCCATTTCTATAATTTTCTAAGCAGTGTACAAACTCAACATGATGAACAGGAAGGACATTTACTCGAATGGGTGGCCAAAAATAATGATCTGAAAGCCACGCCTCCAATAAGCCACACCTCCATTCTTCTGATATATTATGTCAAATGTTCAAAATTACACCCATCCCATCACAAAAAGGTTCCATCGGTGTAGCAACCCAAAAGGTGTTCCAGGCACATTTACTTCTAAGAGTGTACTACATTGTTTCTATGCTCTTCTCTCTGTCCATCTTTCTCTCCTTCCTGCCTGAGTCTACCCTGCACACCTCCACTTTCCATCCCTCTCTCACTCACTCTGTCTCTGCCTCTTCCCTCCTTTGAGCCTGTTCCAGGAACTTCCAGTAAAACTCCAGCTGCATAAATAATTCAACTCTAAATCATCACAGGAAAAGGAAACTTAGGCCCAGTCAAAGTGGACATTGTTTTCCACCCTTGGAACTACAACACCCAAAAGCCTCCTTTCTCTACCTGTCTTGGTACTTGTTGTAGTTCTTCCTGGTTCAGTAGCCTTTGTTGGTTGATTGGTTGTGCTTGTTGAAGTATTTTTGGGTTCTGCTTTTGTTGCCGTCGTATTGGTTGTAGTTGTGGTGGTCGCTCCTTGTGTTGTGGTACTTGGCTGTTGATTGGTTGAGCTGGGGGTGGGTCCTTGAGGTGCCGCTGACTTTGGCTGTTGATTGGTTGAGCCAGGAGTGGTTGCTCTGGGAGATGGTGATGTCACAGTGGAGGTCTGTCCTGCTATTGGTCCGTCTGTGGCTGTAATAGTGTTAGCTGTCATATCACCTGAAGAAAGACACAAGAGACATGAAGCAGCCCCTCTGCTGACAACTACATAAATGTCACTCAAATACTACTCAAAAGTTATAACAACATGATAAAGAACCACTCAGAGATAATAGCATAGTACTCAATCTCCAGTTATGGATGGCAGTCTACTACTCCATTAGTCCTCCTAGGTTAAAACATATTCCTCTGAAACGACATATAAGTTCATCTTTAGGTATACACCTGTCACTGCTCCTCCACGGACTGTTGATTGTGACACCACAGGGACGACTGTCAATCTAATGTCAGGTGACTGTGTGGAGAGGATCTTATTGGCTGTTGTCAGGGCAGATAGGCGGGGCTGGACAGTGAGGCTGACCGTCGGGGTCATCTGTGCTTTGGCCTTCTTGGATGATGGCCCTCCGCTGAAAGCCGTCTGAGCCTGTGGCCGGAACTGTGCCATTCCATCTGATGTTGTCAAGGCAACCGGTGACTCTTTCTTCACAACAGCCATCGCTGTAGGGACAAATTCACTTCCTGATCCAGTTGTCTGCCAATCATCTACATCCTCTGGTACGATTGGTCCATCAGATTCCCTGCCTCCTGATGTCACTGGCTCAGCACCTGAGAGTTTGGTGGGTGGGAGCGCAGATGGTCCCTTTGCAGATGCAATCCCACTTGGTTCTGGGGTTACCATAGTACCTGTCCTAGCCTCAACAGAAGTGGACAGGCTTTGGGCAGACCCAATGTTGAGTTTCTGAGAGGGGGAATGGGATTGACTGAGGTCTATAGTTCTAGTCTGTGTTGTGGGAGTGCCCATTTCTCCCCCACCCTGTCCCAGGTCAGAGCCCCCTTCGCCCCTACCTCCTCTCTCTGTGGACCAATCACCGTTGGTCACTCTGACAGACCTGTCGCTCTGACCTCTGGGACGAGAGGAGGGCAGACTGGGTTTGAGGGATGGAGTGTTGACAGGGTCTGGAAGAGAGGAGGATGAGGAGGAGGAGCTGACCATCACTTGGCCAGAAGAGGGATGGAGGGAGGAGAGGAGGAGGAGGAGGGTGAGGATGAGAGTGAGGATGGATGCAGTGGCCATGGTCTGGCTGTTGAGGGTAATGATTTATACAGTCCCTCTGTTTGTCTTTCCGTCCGTCTGTCACACCATCCTCCTACTGGGCTCTGTAGACACAGACAGAGCAGAGAGACATGGATGAGGTTAACTCAGTATAGGAGCGAATATTATAACATGCACGCCACAGTCTTTGGGTGCTGGGAATAAAATGTAACTTCCGCAGAACACACATGATTACCTCTGCATATTTCATTTACACTTTCACTTGGTACAGCTCTCAGGGACCACACATACAACCACATAAGCAGTACACATGTATGTACAAATGAATGAATGAGTGAAATTGTATTTTTGTGTCAAATCTCCAGTTGACAACCTATCTCTTACGGGATTAATTGACACATATATAAACATTACAATGATTCACAGTGTTAATTCAGTGATCATTCTTACGGTGTTCTACGTAGTGCACACCGAATAAAGAATGAAAAAGACATCAATACATAATAGGAGATAAGGTTATCCAAACAATAATAATATTTATTTTTATCCTTATTTTACCAGGTAAATTGACTGAGAACACATTCTCATTTACAGCAACGACCTGGGGAATAGTTACAGAGGAGAGGAGGGGGGATGAATAAGCCAATTGGAAGCTGGTTATGATTAGGTGGCCATGATGGTATGAGGGCCAGATTGGGAATTTAGCCAGGACACTGGGGTTAACACCCCTACTCTTACGGTAAGTGCCATGGGATCTTTAGTGACCACAGAGTGTCAGTACACCCGTTTAATGTACATATGAAAGACGGCACCCTACACAGGGCAATGTCCCCAATCACTGCCATGGGATCTTTTTTTTTATACCAGAGGAAAAAGTGCTTCCTACTGGCCCTCCAACACCACCTACAGCAGCATCTGGCCTCCCATCCAGGGACTGACCAGAACCAACCCTGCTTACCTTCAGAAGCAAGCTAGCAGTGGGATGCAGGGTGTTAGGCTGCTGGTAATAAAACATTTAAAAAAGTATAAAAACTACAGATAAATAAATACAGAAAAATTAAACAGAAGGCGTTGTACATGTTTTACAACACTGTGAAGCTCAAGGGGTCAGCACAGCTTTAGAGATGAAGTTCTACGTTTGTCTCTCTCTGCCGTACTTGGGTTCACATTGTCTTTGTGTGAGACTCTTTCTCTTTTGAGGAATTTTTGTATAGATTGTGTGTGTGTCTGTGTGAGTGTGTGCATTTGTGTGTGTGTGTGTGTGTATGTGGGCCCCGCTACGACCTCCACAGAGCCATCAAACAAGCAAAAGGACAATATAAGAACAAGGTGGAATCCTATTACACAGGCTCCAATGCCCGACTCTTGTGGCAGGGGCTATAGTCCATTACGGATTACAAAGGAAGACCCAGCCGAGATCTTCCCAACAATGCCTCTGTACCAGATTAACTCAATGCATTTTATTACGCTTGGCAGTAGAATGGCCTTACTGAAGACCTCAGTGACTTTCAACGTGGCACCGTCACAGGATGCCACGTTCCAACAAGTCAGTTAGTCAAATTTCTGCCGTGCTAGAGCTGCCCGGTTAACTGTAAGTGCTGTTATTGTGAAATGGAAACATCTAGGAGCAACAACGGCTCAGCTGCGAAGTGGTAGGCCACACAAGCTCACAGAACAGGACCGCTGAGTGCTGAAGCACGTAAAAATCTTCTGTCCTCGGTTGCAACACTCACTACCGAGTTCCAAACGGCTTCTGGAAGCAACTTCAGCACAGAAACTGTTCATTGGGAGCTTCATGAAATTTGTTTCCAAGGCCGAGCAGCCGCACACTAGCCTAAGATCAGCATGCGCAACGCCATGCGTTGGCTGGAGTGGTGTAAAGCTCACCGCCATTGGACTCTGGAGCAGTGGAAACGTGTTCTCTGGAGTGATGCATCACGCTTCACCATCTGGCAGTCCGGTGGACAAATCTGGGTTTGGCGGATGCCAGGAGAACGCTACCTGCCCCAATGCATAGTGCCAACTGTAAAGTTTGGTGGAGGAGGAATAATGGTCTGGGGCTGTTTTTCATGGTTTGGGCTAGGTGCCTTAGTTCCAGTGAAGGGAAATCTTAACGCTACAGCATACAATGACATTGTAGACGATTCTGTGCTTCCAACTTTGTGGCAACAGTTTGGGGAAGGCCCTTTCCTGTTTCAGCATTACAATGCCCCCGTGCACAAAACGAGGTCCATACATAAATGGTTTGTCGAGATCGGTGTGGAAGAACTTGACTGGCCTACACAGAGCCCTGACCTCAACCCCATCGAACACCTTTGGGATTAATTAGAATGGCGACTGCGAGCCATGCCTAATCACCCAACATCAGTGCTCTCACTAATTTTGACTATTTTGTGTATGTCCATTACATGAAATGCAAATAAAAATCAATTTAAATTACAGGTTGTAATGCAACAAAATAGGAAAAACGCCAAGGGGGATGAATACTTTTGCAAGGTACATCAATGGGGCTGAGCTACCTGCCATCCAGGACCTCTATATCAGGCGGTGTGAAAGGAAGGCCCGGAAAATTGTTAGACTCCAGCCACTCAAGCCGTTCTCTCTGCTTCCAAACAGCAACGGTACTGGAGCATCAAGTCTGACACCAACAGGCTCCTGAACAGCTTTTATCCCCAAGCCATAAGACTGCTAAATAGCTAACAAAATGGCTACACGGACTATCTGCAATGACCCTTCTATAATGACCCTTCTCTATGCACACTCACACGCTCACTGTATGCACATTCTACACACTCACTCACACACATTCCAACAAACACACACACACACACACACACATACACACTTTCTCACACAGACATAACACACACACACATTCATACTGACTCTACACACATGCACACACACTCACATTCAATCATCATACAAGCTGCTGCTACTCTGTTTATCATATATCCTGATGCCTAGTCACCTTACCCCTATACATATCTAACCCTCCCACTCCAGTATCCCTGCACATTGTAAATATGGTATCGGCACTGACCCTGGAACTGACCCTACATATAGCTACTGACCCTGGAACTGACCCTGTATATAGCTGCGGACCCTGAAACTGACCCTGTATATAGCTACTGACCCTGGACTGATCCTGGAACTGACCCTGGCACTGACCCTGGAACTGACCCTGTAAATAGCTACTGACCCTGGAACTGAACCTGTATATAGCTACTGACCCTGGAACTGACCCTGTATATAGCTACTGACCCTGGAACTGACCCTGTATATAGCTTACTTACTTTTCGTGTTTCTCGGGTGTTTTGTTATAGTACTACTGCATTGCAAGCAAGAAAGTTATTTCCCTGTACTAGTGCACGTGACAATAAAAACTTGAACTTGTGTGTGTGCCTATATAGAGGGGTGTTTATAGCTGTTCTGCTGTGCTGACTCAGAGGGCAGGTCACTGAATTCTCCCAGAGGTCTAAGCAGCACGACACCAGGACACACACAGAGGGGTGTGGTGTATAGTTACAGTGAGTCATTGACACACGCACATGATCAAACGTGCACGCACACAGACACACACACATGCACGCAAGCACACACAAACAGACCAGACTTTGGCCTGCAATTTAAGTCGCATAATGCAGAAAGCCTGCAAAATGACGAGAGCAAAGGAGCAAAGTTGGTTTCACTCCTCCAATGCAGATGGGCAATATCTCTCTATTTGTATCTATTTCTATCTCACTGGCTCCTTGCATCTCTCTTTCTCTCTGCCTCTGACACTATAACTACAGTTTCTCTCTATACCTCGATTACTAATACTATCCTCTGTTCAACTGAATCTCTCCAGCTCTGAATCCATAGCAGTAACATTGGCTGAAGGTGACACAGTATAAGACAGTTGCAAAGCTGCCCAGAGGCTCCTACAGTGCATGATTACACAATCATATCAGTACCACTCCACACTGCCATTCTGTCTAATCCACTCTTAACTAGGGGTGGGCTTTTGAGGTAGTGATGGAAGCGAGTGAGCTGTTCTGGTTTCAAGCACCTCAGGGTGTGGAACACAGCACTAACACACCTGATCAAACTAATGGATGGGTTGAATCAGGTGTGTTAGAGCTGGGCAGAAACAAAAGCATGGACTGGAATGGCTCACCCCTAGGTCTTCTAAAAAAACACCCCTTCCTTCAATGTGGCATCCTCTGACTCAAAATCCCCTCTATCCACATTACCAGTCTTTGTGACCCACAGAGGAGGGTGAAACTACCCCAAGGCACAGATCAGCTTACACTCACCAAATCCTAACATCAACCATTAGGGAGGAAAACAAAAAACTGACTTAGGATCAGTATCTGGGGCAACCTCATCCGACTCCTTATGACTCATACATGCCCCTTGTATAACAAATACGCCTCATTCTCTAACTCACATGTAGAAGAACAAACATCTGTGTGCTAATCTTGACGTGTGTTTTATGCTCATGAACAACACATGCGTGAAGAGGTTATGGTTATAGCTTTTCTTTCGAAAACAAGGACATTTCTATGTGACCCCAAACTTTTGAACGGTAGTGTATATCTTGATTTGATACACGTAAGTATTCAACCCCCTGAGTCAATACATGTTAGTATCACCTTCGGCAGTGATTACAGCTGTGAGTATTTCTGGGTAAGTGTTTAAGAGCTTTCCACACCTGGATTGTACAATAAATGCACATTATTCTTTTAAAAATTATTCAAGCTCCATCTAGTTGGTTGTTGATCATTGATGAGTTTAAGTCTTGCCATAGATTTTCAAGCCTACTTAAGTTAAAATTGGATCTAGGCTACTCGGGAACATTCAATGTCATCTTGGTAAGCAACTCCAGTGTATATTTGGCCTTGTGTTTTAGGTTATTGTCCTGCTGAAAGGTGAATTTGTCTCCCAGCGTCTGAAAGCAGACTGAAGCAGGTTTTCCTCTCGGATTTTTCCTGTGCATAACTCCCTAGTCCTTGCCGATGACAAGCATACCCATAACG